CGCAGGGAAGGAACCCGGAAGACGGATGCCGGCATTGACTGGGGCTCGTAGGGATAAGGTAAGTGATGCTAAAGTGTAATCCCGAGTGTGACTCGGTGTAACCGCTTTTGGTACTGAAAATTAACCCTGAGCAAACGAGATTACCGCCAGGAAGGTTAAGAAGGAACTCCAGTCTTAGCAAAACTGTTTTGAGTAAGTGTAATTGCAGAACTGCCTAAAAATACCCTATTTTAATTAGGGATGCACCAATACTTTTCGAGTACCAATGCCGATACTTGGCATTTTCATGAACTACCAGGGTTGCAACGGTTGCAGCTGGGACCTGGCTCTGGTGCTCTACCACTGTACTGAAATCATTAGTGGATATTGTTTTAGAGAAATTGTCACATGACAATAAACAAAAATGTATCAGTACTCGTACTTGTAAGTACTTGGGCAAGTATCAGTACTTGTACTCGCAAAACTGGTATCGGTGCATCCCTTTATTTATAAAAACATGCATTAGACTCAAACATACATTAAAACAGAGCTGTACAAATGACAGCTGCCTCCTAACTTTTGAATTTTCGTCTAGTCTAGTCTTGGAGCTCAAAAAGTATCGGAACATGTACTTGTACTTGTAACGAGTAATGTATGTGGTATCAGTGCATCCCTAATTTTAATCTTGATTAATTTATAAACAAGGGTAAGCAGTTTGGCAAATCTATACACTGGCACCACTGAAAATGCAGTGTTTGCACCTGCAGTGCATTTCTATTTAATATAACATGCCTATTACATTGCATAGGTGTAAATATGTCTTAAAGTGGAACTAAAGTCTGCTCTCTGTTCTCAAGGGTATGGTCATGTGCAAGTATGAAGACTTACTTGCAAATTTATCCCCTCCAGTGATGTACAAACCAGAACCTTTTCTGTCCACTGGACACTGACAGTTGGGCCCAGTCTTCTTCAGGGTTTGGCGTCTTCGGCCATTACTTAATTTCTGTGAATATGCATGGAAGTTAATTCATTCCAGCACCAAAGGCATGCTGAGAGTGTACGCTGAGCTGTGCATGTGCCCCACTTTTCCATCCCCGGACAGGGTCACTTTCTTTTTCACACAACTGTAGGTATTGTAAAGTACACCCTCTTTGAATTCATTGGTTTTAACTATCCAAACATAATAAAAATTATCTGGTCCTTAGCAGGTCATAAAATTAGGTAAATACAACCTCAGATGAACAACACATGATCTATATGATTAAGCCTAGGTGGTGAAACGCATGAGAGGCATTAGAGTGGGAGAGTTACTATGGTGGTGTATACCTTGTATTTTGAACTTTGCATGGAATTTACAACAATAAAGTTGGATTTTTATGGACCTCGGTTTTGTGCGGCTGATTGGAGAGAGAACAACACATGACATATTACACTGTGTCATTATTTATTTTACAAACATAAAGTTAACATGGAGAAGTTATTTGTGAAAAACTAAGTACACCCTTACTGCTTCCATTGGAATTAAGAGGCTAAGTAGTAGCCAGGTGCTTCTAATCAAATGCACTTGCCTTGCTGATGATCAATTAATCAAGTGTGACCACCTTTATAAAAGCCACAGTTTTAGCAATTTGCTGGTCCGGAGCATTCAGGTGTGTGTTAACACAATGCCAAGGAGGCAAAATGCCAGCAATGATCTATGACCTGCTAAGGACCAGTTGATTTTTATTGTGTTCGGATACTTAAAACTAGACATGTGCGATTCGTTTCGTTCCGAATCGAAATTCGGACGAATTTTCGGAAATTCGGACATTCGGATGTATCCGAATTCCGAATTACAGACATAACGAATGCAAACGAATCCGAATTTCCATTTCCGAAATTCGGTAGCGTTAGTACGTACGTTCGTTTCGTTTTCTGTTCTTATTCGTTTCTTATTCTTTTTCGTTCGTTGGAGCAAAGTGACATTAGAGAAGGAGAAAAATATTTTTTCCCCCACAAATGTCACTTTTGCTGCAAACGAACGAACGAAACGAATAAGAAACGAATTTCGTCCGAATACGAATTCCGAATCCGAATTGACTTTCACACCTGAATCCTGAAAAACGAAATAACACAAATCCGAATTTAAAACGAAACTAAACTAAACGAATTTTTTGGCAGTGCACATGTCTACTTAAAACCATGTTTGGCTACTTAAAACTATGTTAATTCAAAGTCCATACTGGTGTTATAGTAATCAATGTTCCATACAGGTATTAAAGTAAACAATGTTGGAAAATGGCTAATATTTTCATTTCTCTAAACCTTTATTATGTATATGAACTCCATAGCACAGCCATTGTTGTACACTATTTGCAGACTAAGCAGGGAGACAGGAACCAAGCATCCTCATGCTGTAGTCTTTATAATATTCTGAATAGTTGGAATAAGATTAACATGAATTGTTTCTTTCCTGTAAATCATTCCAAGCAAATCACTTTGATGGAACAACCAAGGTCACTTACTGGACATGATGGAGAACCTGTCATATTACTATTCAAGGCAGGGGAGAATATTTTTATGTAGATACGGGAGATGTCTATGGCCTCATGCATCTTTCAACAAACTTGTTGAGAACATTCTGTAGGAATTCAAAATACGTGGCTTGATTATCAATGTATCCCATCCTACTCAGAATATCTTATAGTTACTACAGAAATATTTTGCTACCATAACTTAAGTGCATTTACTCATCCTCCTTTCAGGATTGTTTTACCCGTTAAATGGTACCCATTATTCCTTGGAACAGGAAAGAGATCACAAGCTGATTAATTGTAACAGTAACTTTTTTATATTCTCTGTTTGTAATTTCACCTAGTGGTAAATTTGGCGATAAATGCATTATACACATAATATACTAATAATGTAGTTTATACCCATCTAGGCATAGATAATCATCTTTGGATAGGGAGAAAACTACCATTATTAGCAGGTAGTCTGTCTTCACTTTTTGGATTAAGAAGCAATTCCAGAAAATACATAAGCACAACTGACTCCTTATTAAAATGTGGCTACTAACATGTTAGCTGCAGAATGAAAGACAGAATTTTGTGAGTCTAAATCTGTCAAATGTGCAGTGTTATCAACTATAATAAACTAATGATGGCATTAAAGTAAAATTGCTTTGGATAGTGTGACCCACTAAAATACAACTCTTTTCAGCTCCTACTTCTATCCAAAAAACAATGCAGCTCAAGTCATGAACTGTTACCTGAGGAAAAAAATAGATTCAGCTAGTCTTTCATGGCCTTTTTGGGTTAATTTGCAGCCTTTTCTTCATTTGATTCTGCATTGAACAACCTTACCTGTATGCTCAATTTTGTTCATAAAGTTACAGTGTTCACAGAGAGGATGGAACTTGAGCCAGTAAATACTTGATTCGCATTTTGCCAGTAGGCTGTATACCCTAAGTGTGTTTCCATTTAAATTTTTCTTTTGATATGAAATCTAAATGATCACTCTCCTCTTCCTCTCTTTACCTTCTTTGGTATAGTGTGGTGGGTGTTAGATCCTCTTGCTTTGGCTGCTGAAGCCTGTGTATTTAAACTTATGTTTATATTGTATTAGAACTGATTCCAGTTTTTTCTATTTTGTTTCATGTATTGCTAAATCATGAGAGAGCAACCTCAAGGCCGCATAGAGATGGATCCCATAGCAAGGTTGAGAGATATTGAGACAACAATGGACTTCTTATAAGACCACAGATGTTGTTGAACATAACGGAAGTTAAGCTGGAACTAGTGGAAACCTGCTAAAACATTCACCCTGTATATACACGTATCCCATTTAATATGCTTTGCTGAATCCTGTACACCAACATCCCTTTCTTACATACCCACTCTATTCTATCATTTGATCACATACCTGAAATCCCCACAGCATAAAATAAAACCCTTACAAAAATGTTTCCCTAATCTTTCAAAAACTAAAAAACAATTGGTTGTAGTTATACTTTTTAAAATTTACTATAAAATAAACCAATCATGTAATTATCAAATGAATACTTACGTACAGCGGGTAGCTCCAGGTGCCTACATACTTGGTTAGAATTCATATAGAGCATCCTGGGTCTCCTAACTCACAAGAGACTGTACTACGCAAACAATGTTCAATTTTACTGGTTAAAAAGCTGACCCCACTACCACCCATACTATTAGTTAAAAAGGCTGTCCATTAGTGATGGGACAATATTAAATTATAAGTAAACCTTAGTAATAAGCTTCTCTTACTTGGTCCATTTTGGTCTGTTAAATATACTAATGAAGGTGTCTTGTTATATCTGTTCAATATGTGCAAAAATACCTGTTAATTCTGTCAGAAATAATGTGCACAGATAACTTGTTGTGCTCTATGCCTCTGCTGACTGTTCTCAATTACATTGTTCTCAGCCAGCTCTGATGACTGCAGTACCACATCCCTCTACATTATGGAGATTAGGAGATGGGTGAAGTTCCAAAGTCTTGTTTTGTGTCTGCCCTTCTGATACAGTAGGGTAAGTGAGCGTTGTCATCCTAGGACTGGATGTGCATTACTGGAAGGATTACCAGGTGGAAATAAAGGAAAAAAGAAAACAAATACAGCCACCACATCTAAGGACTGGTAAGCTGCAACAAATAATTTTTTTGTTTTTGGGTTTAGATACCCTTTAATACATTGAAGGAGGGAGGTGGAAGAGAGGTTTTTGACTAGGAGCACTGGAAGTGTCCACTATAGTATTAAGTGTGATTTTTTAAAAAATGTTCTTATTTTGTTTAATTCAGGATGGCCACAAGTTAGCTTTAATGCCAAATTAGACATTTTCCAGTAATATAGAGACAGTATGGGTTGCGATATATGCAATTTCAGAAAAGCTATTTCAAAACTTATAGAAGTTGGTTATGGATAATGTGTAGTTAAATTAAAAGCTTTCCTGTAAAAAAAACAAAAAAGAAGAGCTTCTTACAGAGTGAAATGATTTCTAAAAAAAATGTATTTCTACATACCTTTGGGGTCAGCACGATTGCAGATCCTCCATTAATTCCAATGATGGGCATGGATGTTTGTGCAGAAATAAAGTCCAGTATCTGAGCAACAGACTCGGTTCTTGTATCATCTTCAAAGACAACCCCATGAATACTCAGGCTGGACAGGACATCACATATTTGCAGGATAAGGCTGCGAGGGTTTGTGTCATTAAGTATTACAGAAATTGGATTTACTTCCATAGAAAAATTGCGAAAAGCTGAGGGTGCAAAGTGGGCACTCTCCGGCGGGTAAGAGGTACCACTAAAAATTATGGCCACGTTAAGAGATCTTGCAGTTTCTTCCCGAAATTCTAAAAAAGGGCTGGCGCATGCCAGGGCTATAAGAAATAGCATTCTAGCAGCAGCGGGCACAAAGGCAGTGTTGACAGCTGGTAGAAAACACATCTCGAAGGGTTTTGGCATCCACTGTATGAAAAGGAGAGAGAACAGAGAATACAAGTGAGGATTACACATGAGGCAGGTGGCACTCAGGAAAAAATATGAAGCATGAGAATATAAAAAATTAGAATAAAATATTACTTTTTCATATACAGCTATCATCAAATTGTTGTGGCTGTTACAGTTGCAGCAGGTATTTGCACTGGTAAGTGTAAACTGGTATTATACATTAGATTGAGTTAGGACACATCTTTACAATCATGATTGATTTTAATTTGTGTACACTAGCACATATTACAGAAATACATGTGCAAAGGCCATCTACAACCTAAATAGCCATTGGCCTATAAAAAGCAGTCTAGAATATATATTTTCCCTTCAAAATCTGGGATTTCTCCTCTAGGGAATACCTCCTGAAGGTATTCATAAACATTTAAGTTGCTATATAATAGTAAAGTTACTGATAAATATTAAATGATCCTGTTGCTGTCTGTGATAAGCTGATAATAGAGATGAGTGAATGTATTTGCTCAAACTGATATCTTACTCAGATTGCATTGATTCACATTCAGTTTGGATATCCACAAATGTGCTTCATGTGGTACAACAGCCCTGAACACTGAAAAAAAATATTATTCAAAGGTTTTCTCAAAAAGTAACCAGCCTCATTACACATTGTTTTTGTATTTGCTGTTGTCACAGGTAGTCTACTACAAAATCATTTAGTTTAAACCCAGAACTATATTTCCAATTCCCACATATATTTTTGTATTTCTTAATTACAGGTTGCTCTAACAATATTTATCTGACTGTTCTCAGGTAATTGGACGCTCAATCTCGTAGGCACACTATTAAAAAAAAAATAAAAAAATAGATAGATAGCTAGATGGCTAGTTAGATAGCTAGATATATATTACTTGACATATGTGTGGATTTCAGTCTCACCTTATCTCTAAAAGTTAGTATTTTTTATTTTTGTGACAGTTGTGATAGGGTGTCTTGAGCTTTGCAGATTTAGGTAGTCATTGTCAATCATTCACATACACATATAAACACTTAAAAAACATAAGACCATTTATTTATTTTTATGATACTTCTGCTCTCTCTCAATGTTCTTTATTGAATTAGACATTTCTTCAATCCTGAGTTCTGATGGGCCTTTAAAAAAGCAAAACATGCATGGGTTTGCTTTTTGGTTGACTGTCAAATGTCTCAAGCTAAGGTGAGAAATATAACCAGGAGCCCACTGCTGCCCTTGCTGCATGTGCTTTCAATTTACAGTGAGATGCCAAGCTGCACTACCTTATCTAATGAATGGGAATAATTTATATTTGCTGATAATCTGCAGGCTACAATGTAGACCTCTATTAGTCCCCTCCTTTTTAGAATCATTGTTCTCCTGCTGCCCTGAGTCCATAATAATTTGCTATGGTGCTTGTATCTCTATGCCAAATGGACTTAGTTGAGTGAAAAAAAAATCACATTATACTGAATAATTGTGTCTCAGGCACTTGAAGATAGCTATTAAAAGTCGATTATCATCATCATCAGCCTTCATCCATCATCAGTTATTTTTATCATCAACCTGCTACCCGGTCCAAAATGCTTGCGGTGCCAATTTTATGCTGTGTTGAATTTAAACCCATAAAAGTTGGAAATCCATAATGCTTTGCTGTGGTGTCATCAAACCTTTTAACAAATCTAAAGAAGACTCTTATCTCTCATGTTTAATCTTCACTCACCTGCCCGGGTGTTGGTGAATCACCCCCCCCCACACACACAGACACACACACTTTTACTAACTTTCATCCCTGGTGTAACATTCCTCCATCAATGCTTGGTGTGGAGTGTGGAGCCATGTGACCTCTTTCCAGAATGCGATTTTTAGCCTTGAGCAGACAATGTTCAGGTCCAAACACTGTCACATTATGTGGGAGATCATATGGTCAACTCTGTGTAAGCACGGACACCATCTGACATTGAGTTTACACATGGTAGGACTTAGGAGGAAAAGAGAACTGGAGAAGCACAGGGAATGTGACTATAAGTGGAGGGAGTGGGCTGTAAATACACTCTGTCATATTGCTGGGTGGGCAAAGTGGCAGTGTCTCTTTATGTACATTGCTATCTAGCTCTTACAGTCTTGGAAATAGGTAGAAAGGTTCCTTCTATTCCTAAATAATAAAGGCTTTATGGACATTGCAAGGTGATATCACTATGATAAACTAACCAAGGTTAATATTCATATCCTTGTCACAGGAGAGCAAAGTTTTGCTTCTAGACTTGTATAGGATACAATTATTTGTCAGATATGAGCAAACATGTCAAATGTCAGAATTAAAAAAAAAACAAAAAAAACAAAACAGGTTTTGGCAGTCACATTGTTTTCTAATGTCCATCCACTAAAATATAATGGTTAAAAAAAAAAAGATTACAAAAATCACAGAGACTGATAATATTAAGGTAACTAAAACCGAAATCAGCCTTTTCATACTGTGTATCTTCTACAATATAGTTTATACCGTCTTTATGATGGATCTGTCATAAAATATATAGCTGCCTAAGTTTCCACATATCATTTCTATATACCTTTTTGAAAATAGAAGAAATATCACTAAATGCTATCTTTGCTGATCAAGATTATATACATATGTAGCTAACATAGGACAGATTTACTGGATGTCTGAAACTCTTAACCCCCTGTGCTTCGTCTGCAACAGAATATGTCTACAGCTCCTGCAGCATTGAATTTCTTAAGCCTGAATATTGACTCTGCCATGTGGATGACCTTCTTGCATCCCCAGGGAAACAAATCTCACGTTATGACTCATCTCCTAAGTCTTCTCTCCAAGCTCTCAAAACTCTTCAAACCATGTTCTGCAAGCATTTCTTTTAAGACAGTTATTTGCATGAACATGAACTTCAAGTCATGTTTCTCTTCCATTAATGTCTTTAAGATAAGGCCAGATGGATTTGTAGAGCAGACAGGAATTGCTGAATATACAGACATTTATAATTATTGGGTACTGATCCGCACAGCATTACAGCACATTTTGTGGAAACTATAAGTGTTGTTTTTTTTCTTTCCCCCACTGAGAAACAAGCACATCTAATATTGCTCATGATTCTTTTGTCTTCTAGTAAATCATTACAA